GGAGGAGGAGGAGGAGGAGGAGGAGGAGGAGGAGGAGGAGGAGGAGCTGGCTGGAGGAGGAGGAGGAGGAGGAGGAGGAGGAGGAGGAGGAGGAGGAGGAGGAGCTGGAGGAGGAGGAGGAGGAGGAGGAGGAGGAGGAGGAGGAGGAGGGGAAGGAGGAGGAGGCCCCTCCACACTGTGATCCCGCAGGTGGCCAGCGTGCTGGACGCCTTTGCGCGCCTGGGCGAGACGCCGCAGGAGGGGGGCCGCCGAGCGACGGGGCTGGGTGGCGGCGGGCGTTGGCGGGCGGCAGGCGGGGGGGGGCTGGCGGCTGGCGGGCGGCTGGCGAGCGGCAGTCGGCCTGGCGGCGCGCGTCGGGGGCCCGTCCAACAGGTTGGCTGCGCGCCGGGGGCGGGGGGGAAGGTGAGAAGGAGCGGGCTTTCTCCGAAGGCGGCGGGGCTCCTCGGGCCTCCTGGCAAGGTTGTTGCGTCCTCGGGGGAGGCTCACGCAGCTTCTCAGAAGGCTGGGTGCCTTCCGAGCCTTCTGAGAAGGCCGGGCCCTCCTCCTCCTCCTTTCCCCCTGGGCTCGCCGCCGAGCCCATTTTCCGGGGAAGGCTCTCGAAAGCAGGCCCCGTGATGCCTCGCCTTCCGCGCGGCAGGCCGTCGCGCGGGATGGGGCGAGGCACCACTGGCCTCTTCGCGAGGACGTCTCGAGCGAAAACCTGTTGGACGGGCCCCAGGCTGGCATCGCCAGGCCGCCGGCCGCCCGCTGGCCGCGCCCCCAGCCGCACCCCCAGCCGCTGGTGCGGGGGGTCGGCTGGGGCCGGCCCCCCCCCGCCACCCGCCCGCCAGCCGACCGCCGGCCGCCCGCCAGCTGCCGCCGACCGCCCGCCAGCCAGGGGGCAGGCAGGAGGGGGCGGGGAAGGCGGGGGACGTCTGGAGGCACCTCGCCGGGCGGTCGCGGGGCCGCCGGCGAGCCATCGGCAACTTCCAGCAAGCCACCGGCAAGCCACCGACGGAGCGCCGTGAAACCACTGGCAGCGCACCGATCACCAAGCGCAAGCCACGAGTCAGGCGCAACATAATTAGGCCGCACCCTCTAAATTGAGTTCCCGCTACTGGCAGTGAAACCTGATCAGTGCCCCGTCCAGGTCATAGCGCGGCCGCCGCCGCCGCCGCCGTAATCGCCGCGGCCGCCACTGCCACCACCGCCGCCGCCGCCGTCGTCGTCTGAGGAGGAGGTGGTGGAGGAGGAGGTGGAGGAGAGGGAAGATATGGAGGAGAGGGAACAGAGGGAGGAGGGGAGGAGGAAGAGGAGGAGGAAGAGGAGGAGGAGGAGGAGGAGGAGGACCAGTATAGTTCCAAGCGTCATCAACGATGTTCAGTTAATCTTCCCTCCACGCTCCCTCTTCATAGGCCCTTACAGCGGTTCATTTCCACAGAGGGAACTGCCTCGTTGGAAGACAATTGTTTGAAGACCCTGATGCATGCCGAACCATTGTTCTCGGGATTCCAACGCCACCTGATTGTTGCGTCTTGACCACCCGGAATCGTGCCGAAACGCCGTTCCTGGGATTTCAGGCCGCGAAGCATCGTAACTGTTACGCTCTCATAATCCTGAAATTTTCCAGAGCGCCATTTTTGGTACGTTGATCATGGGAATCCGTGAGAGTCTTGCGAATTAGTATCAAAACGAATGTGCGCGGCGTTCAAGCGAAAGCCGCATCTTGAAAAGGAACCGCCCTTACTCCGTGAAGCTCTTGCAAGTGTTTGAAACGAATGTGCGCGGCGCTGAAGCGAGAGCCACGTTTTGAAAACGAGTCGCTTTCAATCCGTGAAACTCTTGCAAATGTTTGAAACGAATGTGCGCGGCGTCAAAGCGAGAGCCACATTTTGAACATGGATCGCTTTCAATCAGTGAAGCTCTGGCATTGGTTGAACGAATGTGCGCGGCGTCAAAGCGAGAGCCGCATTTTGAAAACGGATCGCCTTCAACCCGTGGAGCCTTTGCAAAGGTTTAAACAAATGTGCGTGGTGCTAAGGCGAGAGCCACATTTTGAAAACGACCCGCCCTCTATCATTGAAAGTGTTGCTCATTTTCAATTGCTGGGTCGTAAGCGATGAGGAGGTCTCAGGCGCAACGCCCAGCCCGCCTTCAAAACTGGCGTCGGGGCTCGACAAGGAGCATCTACGTATAAGGACAAGGAATGGAAGAGGAGGAGGTTGGAGGAGGAGGAGAAGGAGGAAAAGGAAAAGGAGGAAAAGGAGGAAGGAGGACGAGGCAGCGTCGGGAGGAGGAACACGAGACGGGGGTGGACGTTGTCGAGGAGGAGCGGGAGGAGGAGGAGGAGGAGGAGGAGGAGGAGGAGGAGGAGGCCGAGGAGGCCGAGGAGGAGGCGGAGGAGGCCGAGGAGGAGCAAGACGAGGACGAGGACGAGGAAGGGGAGGAGGGCGGGGAGGGGTGAGATGATGCCCCCGCGGTGCCTGGGATATCGCATGCCTCCTGCCGCGCCGCCCCGCTTGGTGCATCCTCACAGCCTTCGGCGCGTGCTCCAATGTGGACGCTGTGCTCGGCCGCGCTCGCGCTCCTGGGCCCCCGTCTCCGGCTGTGGCGAAGCGTCCTGGCGAATGTTTTTTTATTCACTGCTTTGCCGATCGGCGCTGGCTCTTGCACCCATCTCCCCCCCCTCCCATGGAGTAGATCTCGGCTGTTTTCGGCGTTTGCTCCAGGCAGGTGGAGTCTCCCCGATGGGACGCACTGTCGCAGATAGTCGCATCCAGCAGAGGTCCGGAGCCAGACCCCTTCCCCCTCCTCCCGCGTGCGGGTCACATTGCAACCAGAACGGCCACGTTACAACCTGATGGGGCACTTTACAACCAGCATGGGTTTTCGCATAAGGGCACTTTACAACCAGGAGGGCGACTTTACAACCAGGTAGTTAAACGCATATCAGCGACACATGTTCTGCAATTTCCGAAATCTCCGTGGGCCCACGTAAGACACTTCGCTTTCTGAAGCGAGTGAGTTGTGAAGAGTTTCGTCTGAAGCAAGAGTCTGTGAAGGGCGGATTCCTAATGAGATCCAACAGGAATCCGATTGGAATCCGATTGGTACCCTCTCCTCTGGGATCCTACTGGCACCAGGTGAATCCAATTGGAAACCAGCAGGATTCCTCGCTAAGGGGCCTACGGGTGTTGTATTGGAGTCCGATAGGGATGCTTCCCATTGAAACCCTTTGGGGCCCTTCCTATTGGAAATCGACTGGAAACCCCAGTGGATTACAATCGAGGAACCTTCCCATTGGAATGCTGCGGGAAACTCTTTGGTGTTCTACATGGAAAGCCGATGGTTATCCTTTTGGGTTCTTATTCGGAGACAGTGCGAGCCTTTTCTCTTTCGATCCCATCAGCACAATTTTGGCGAATGCGACGGATATCGCATTTGAATATAATCGGAGTTCTTCCTTTTCGATCCTTACGGGCACACTTTTGGGATCCCATTAGGATCCAACGTTCGCCCAACAAGAACCTGTCTCCTTTGATGCATACTGTAACCGCAGTGGCGCCCTATTGCTATCTTTGTGGTATCCAAAAGGAGGGATTGGAACCCACGTGAGATCAAATAGGGATCATCCTGCCACAGGCTGGTGACAGGCCTGGGCGCAGTAAGCCTTTTTTTTCACATCTGCGCACTAAATCTCCATCGCTGTTTGCTGACCCTCAAAACCTCAACCTGAAAGCTTCGTTTCTTCAGACAATAGAAGTAAACGTTCCCCTCAAAAGACGCAGAGGACCACGCGCGCTTCCAGGAGAGCGGCTATGTGGCCAACATTTCGTTGGTAATATTCTTGCCAAGCAATGTGGATATCATTGTTTGGCATCATAGGCATGTGTTGTCCTCGGGCCTCATCGTCATGTAGCCATAACACCGAATGGTTTTGCATGTGCGGAGGCATGCGCGCCCAGGGAACGCGAAATTGTGGCGCCAAGAACTCATGGGTGAATGTCTCGACGACGGATGTGGGTTTCAACATGTAGGCTCTTTTGTCGCATCATCGACCATATTTGTCCTCGCGCCTCGCCGCCTGGCAGTAGCAACGCCGCATGTTTCAGCAATTGCGAAAGCATGCGCGCTTAGGAGGGCGGACATCGGGCCAATACGCCGATGGCAATTAGAACCAACACGTTTATATGCCATTCATTGTGTGTTGATTGGCCTCGCTGCTGTTTTTGTTTGTCCGCGCGCCTCATCGTCTGGCAATGGCAACGCCGTGTAGTTTCGCATGCGCGGAAGCATTCGCACCCAGGAAAACGGACAGGTGACAGAACTCGTCGGTCAAATTTAAGCCACGACATGTGGATATCAAAAGCCTCAGAAGTTTCAGGCGCTCATGCGCTCAGGAGCCTCAGGGGCTTCTGCAGGGCGCTCAGGCGTTCAGAAGCTCCAGGGGCTTTTGTTGTTGCAGAGCGCTCAGGCGCCCAGAAAGTTTTGCAAAGTGGCCAGGCGCGTCCAGAAGCCGCAGAAACGTCTGCAGGGCGTTCAGGCGTTCAGAAGTCTCTGCATAGCGCCCAGGCGCTCAGAAGCTTCTGCAGAACGTTCAGGCGTTGTGAAGCCAGTGCGGAGTGCTCAGGCGCTCAGGCGTTCAGGAGCCTTTGCGAAGCACCCAGGCGCTCAGATGCCTCTGCAGAGCGCTCAGGCGTTCTGAAGCCAGTGCAGAGCGCTCAGGCGCCCAGATGCTTCTGCGGAGCGCTCAGGCGCCCAGGAGCCTTTGCACAGTGGCCAGGCGCCCAGAAGCCTCATAAGCTGCTGCAGGGCGCTCAGGCGTTCCGGAGCCTCTGCGGAGCGCCCAGGCGCCCATATGCCTTTGCAGAGCGCGCTCATAAGCCTCTGCAGAGCGCTCACGCGCTTCTGCAGGCTGGTTGTGCAGCGGCCCTTCTTGTTGTAACGAGCCCCGCCTGGGTTGTAAGGTGGGCCGTTCTGGTTGTAAAGTGGGCTGTTCTGGTCGTGAAGTTGTTATCAAAGGAAACCTGTGCTGTTTGTAAAGTGGCCTGTCTCGGTTGTAAAGTGCTGTTCGGCTTGTGAGGGATCCGAATACCCCTTCCCCCCCTTTTTGCCCATTGCTAGCACGCCGAATAAGAAAACGTTCGCCTATAGGTCCGCCAGAGAAGGTTCTAGGAGCCTGTGGTGGTTTGCGCACTTTTGGCCGGGACCGTCTTGCTTGAGCCCACCCGCTTCACGTTCTAAGAGCATGGATCTTGTTGTTCGAACATCCTTTCGTTCTCATCGTGATCGGTTAATGGCGCAGGACGGTCGGTCCCTGCTCAGCCGCCCCCCCTGTCTGCGAGGCTGGAATATGCCCAGACATTGTCGAGTCGGGGAAGAGTCGCGAGGGACAGTTGTTGGCCGTGTTCGGCCTTCGTGGGCCTTCGCTGGGCCCCGGGACCGTCCAAGAGTTATCCGTGATGGAAACAAATTGCCTTGCGGAGAAGGTCGGGACTCCGGGGGCCCCGCTGACAGCAATCAATACCTCCGATGCATGTGTATACACATCCACCGCCCGGGGGGGTAATCTTCCAGGAATTCAGGGGTTGATGGAAATGGATGCATATCGACTGGCCTTCGGCCCGTTGTGCCAACGCGGCTGGGTTGTGGGTCGGAAGCTTCTTGGCCGTTTTGGGGGCGCTCGTGGCCCCGAGGAGGTCATGCGAGACACGGTGGCGGATGTGGTCACCCAGGGGCACACACATTCACTCATTCGCACATTCACACATTCACACATTCATACATTCACACATTCACATATGCACACACACGTGTATCTGTACATGTATATGTCTAATACATAGAAGAGTTGACGGCTCGCTTCGTTTTGCTTCAAATCTTGGTCATGCGTCCAAGCATTGCCAGGTGGCTGCCGAAGGTCACATCGGTGCGGGAAGATCATGACCACGAGGGGGGTGCGGTTCATTGGCTGGATGGAGCCCATCGGCATGTTCATGCCATGAGAATGGCAGGGCCGCCGCGAGGGAGAGGGCGAGGAGCTTGATGGCGAGGTATGCCATTATCCCATTCGGGGTGGCGGCTGTGCGGTCGATGGGGTTGCCTTTCATGGCCGCCAGCGGGTTGAAGGCCATGCCCCCTCGGGACCTGTACTGGGGCCGCGATGCCGATGGTTTGGAACGCCGAATCGGCGACATGAGCGCGACGGGGGTGAAAGTCTCGATCCGGGCGGGGCCACAATCACAACGTACATTGATGGAGGTTGATCTCATCGTTGTGGTACAGGGCAAACCATGATCGCAAAAGGGGCCGTCGGGCACTCGGGGGGAAGGGGGGGCCACGGTGATAATCTTGAAGGGGCGAGGGTGGTAACCGCGAGCGGGGTCTTGGTCGTGATAGTGAGGGTGTCGAGGTTTATGCAGGATCTGCGGAACTGCTTGCGCGCCCGACGAATCTCGTTGATCAAATCACTGGCCTCCAGATCTTCGGCTCTTGCCCCTCGTCTCCTCGTCCCTCGCGCTTCCATGGGCAGCGCAACGCAGCGAGGCGTCCGGACACGGAAGAGGAGGTGGGCCCGTTGGGCTGTGTAGGTGGCCTCCAGGGGCGCTTCTTAGTGGTCTTGTTGGAGGCCTCGCGCACCGTCTCGGGGCCCTCCTGGTCTGCGTTCGGGTCCTCGGGGGCTGGTTTTGGGCCGTCGTGGGCCGTCTTTGTGTTTTTTTGGCCTTTTCGGGGCCGTCTTCGAATTTGTTTGGGCCGTCTTGGGCAGTGTTGGCGCCGTCTTTGGCCGTCTTGGGGCCGCTTCGGAAGCTTCTTGGGCCGTCGTGGGGCGATTTCGAAAGCTCGCGGGGCCTTCGCGGTGTATAGGATGCCAGAAAAAAAAAGCGAAGGTGGTAGCATCTACCCAAATCCAGAGACAATCATCGATGTCTGCATCTCGCGGCCCTCTCGGGCGTCTCCTGAGGCCCGATTGGGGGCTGTTGGTTCGCGCTTTGGCCGTCTTGGGGCCATTGGGGAACGTCTTCGGGCATTTTTGTTAGCGTTGGGGGTCGCTGCGACGCCATTGGGGCCGTCCGCAGCGTCTAAAGGAGTGCGGTTGGTTAGCCGGGGGGGCCAGGGAAACCCGGGGGGGGGTCGGAAAGGTGCCCCAGGCCAGGGGGAACCCAAAGTGGTCCCGGGATTTTCTGGGGGTGGGGGGAGTGGGCCCTCCGTGGGGGCTATTCCCATGCAGGATGTATAATTGTAGGAACATGTCAGGGATATGCGCTATTTGTTCCCAGGGCAACGTTTGCCAAGAAGGCACATGTGTATACATTTCGACATCGCACAACCTGTTTGTCGGTCGTCCCCTCCCGCCCCGCGCCATTCCGCCCTACCCCGTCCCTGCGGGCTTCAAGATCCCTCGCGCCCGTAGGTCTTTTCCAGTCCGTGTCTCGCCCTTTTCGTCTCCTCCTGGCCTTCGCGCCCCCTGTTCTTCCTCTGCCCGCTGCTTCGCTAGTGCTGCCTTTTTCTTCCCCTCTCCTTCCTCACCCCCTATCGCCCCCAGGTCCCTGCACCCTCGCACAGGCGACTCGGCGGTGCTGCCTCCTTCGCAGTGCCGCCTGGGCGCCACAACTCTTCGTAGCGCCCGGGCGGCGGCGGCAGTTCCGCGTTTCGACCTGGTGGGTTGCTGGCTCGCTGGTAGTACATATGCCCGTGGCGCGCTCCCGGATTTCGGGCCCGCACACACACCCGCACACACACACACGCACACATATACACACACGCACACACACACACGCACACACGCACACACGCACACACGCACACACGCACACACGCACACACGCACACACGCACACACGCACACACGCACACGCACACACGCACACGCACACACGCACACACGCACACACGCACACACGCACACACGCACACACGCACACACGCACACACGCACACACGCACACACGCACACACGCACACACGCACACACGCACACACGCACACACGCACACACGCACACACGCACACACGCACACACGCACACGCACACGCACACGCACACGCGCACACGCGCACACGCGCACACGCGCACACGCGCACACACGCGCACACACGCACACACGCACACACGCACACACGCACACACGCACACACGCACACACGCACACACGCACACACGCACACACGCACACGCGCACACGCGCACACGCGCACACGCGCACACGCGCACACGCGCACACGCGCACACGCGCACACGCGCACACGCGCACACGCGCACACGCGCACACGCGCACACGCGCACACGCGCACACGCGGACACACGCACACGCACACGCACACGCACACGCACACGCACATACAAACACACGCACACACACACACACGCACGCACAGGCACACAGTCACAGACGCACGCACACAATCACACACACACACGCACACACGAACCCACACACACACACACCTACACACATATACGCATACATACGCACAGACACGAACACAGACACAGACACAACTATAAACACAAACACAAACACAGGCACCGACATAGACACAGACACAGACACAGACACAGACATATACAAGTACACGTGCACGTACACATACGCATACACGTGCACATTCGCATACACATTCACATGCACATACACGTACATATGCACATACACATACACATACAAATGTTCAAATACAGACTCATACACTGACGCATACACATACGCACACACATACGCACGCACGCACGCACGCACGCACACACAAACAAGCAAACAAACAAACAAGCAAACACACACAACACACACACGCACGCACACACGCACGCACGCACACACAAACACACACGCACGCGCACACACACACGCACACGCACACGCACACGCACACGCACACGCAAACGCACACGCACACGCACACACATACACACTTATACACACACACACACCACACACACACATCGATCGGAGTAGGCGGGGGGCCAGCCCAGAACCACGGCCACGGCGTAGCATGGGGGCAGGGGGCGGTTCAAGGCTTTTTTGGGCGGGGCCCTGCGGATTCTCGGACGGCTCCAGAAGCCGCAGGACCGGCTCGAGATCGCCCCAGACGCCCCGCGAACGCTCCAAGACGCGCCAAGATGGCCTCAAGACGAGCTGAGAGGCTCCCAAGAGGCTTCAAGAGGGCTTCATGAGGCCACCCCACAGGGCCCCAAGAAACCCAAACCGTCCAATTCCGGTGGGAAAGCGTGCAATTTCAGTACATACGATTGTCGGGCTTCCAAAGCGATAGCGTCCTCGACGGCCCAAACGGCACCCGAAACCGCCCCAAGACGGCCAAAGAGGCCCACAAAAGAGTCCCAGGACGGCCCCAGAGAGTCCCAAGACGGTCCAAGAGGCGCCCATGACGGCCACAAGAAGGCCTTAAGAGGGCTTCAAAATTGCCTAAGAGAGCCCCTCGGACCGCCAGCGGGCCCCAAGAGAGCCCCCGGAGGCCCCAAGGGGCCCCCAAACAGCACGCACGGAGGCCCCAACAGGCGCCCAGACAGGCCCGAACAGGGCCCAAAGAGGCTTCAAAGTGTTTCCAAGGGAACCACAGCGATTCCTTAAGATATCCCATATATTTTTCAAATTAGGCCAGGCCTCTGAATCACTTGGCTGCAGCCGTCCTTCGAGTCAAGTGCTCCTGCTTCGCGGCGGCGCCCTCTCCCCTGGCACCCTGGACTTCACTCGATGCGCACTCACAGCGAATTCGGAGACGAGTAGAATCTAAGCGCGTGCGTAGCACGCGCGTGTCTCTAGTGTGTGCATCTGTATTTATACAGCTACATACATGCACACATACAAAAACCATAGTTCATATACATACATATATATATATATATATACACGTATACATGTATGAACGCATGCATGCATGCATTCATAATACAAAAACCGCACATGTATACAAATGCATGCGCATATACGTATACATATACAAAACAGCAGACACATATACATATACATGCACTCATACATAGATATGTACATACATGTTTATACGAATGTATATACTTTACAACTCATAACTGCTACAGTTGCGTACCCACATACATACACAACGACATGCAACACACAGTTGTATGCATAAACACATGCAAAATACGTGTGCGCATTTGTATACACATACGTACCCATATACATAAACATTGACATACCGTCATGCATCCACACATGCATATGAATATGCATATCCGTGACGCGTTCCGCAATTATATATATATATATATGTATATATACATGTCGGTTGAGCTATGCGCGCACCGAATCTAATTTTGCATAACCATTCACACCTACATACATACAGACAGTCTCACATACATACATCCAAACTGACACATACATACATACATGCATACATACCTACACGCACACACACACGTTATGTGATACATGCATGCATGTAGACGTACAGGTGTGTATATATATATATATATATGTCTGACTATATATATACATATCCACACAAAAATAAGTTGATTAGTTATACCTGCATGCATGTACGCATGTGTATATGTGTAGTTATAATTATAGTTATAGTTATATGTATATGTATATGTACATATATATATATATATATATATATACACAAAGGGTTCAGAAGGGGGCCCGGACCCACCCCAGAGGCTCCCAAGCTGGCCCAAGAGGCGCCCAAAGCGCCCCAGGTCGTCTGGAAGGTGGCGGAGGAGCGCACCGAGATGGTTTCTGGACGGGCCACGAGCGCTCGAAGATAGCGCAAGACTGCTCCTAAGCATGTCCGATGGGAACAAAAAACGTATATTTCCTTGATATTTGCTGTTAAGTTCTACCAGCGGCCAGGACGGCCCCAGAGGCTCCCAAAATGAGCCCCAGGCGGCCCAAGAGGCCCCCAAGAGGGCCCCCAGACGGCCTGAAGAGAGCTTCAAGCAGCATCAGAGCTCCAACACAGCCCAAGAGAGTACCCAGGAACCCCGATGGAGCCACCGGAGGATCCATACATGGTCGGAGAGGGCCCCTCGAGGGCCCCAAGACGGGGTCAGTTGCCCATGACGGGCGAAGAGGGACCCGGAACGGCCGAACTGGGCTCCCAGAGGGTCCAAAAACGGCTTATCAAGATTCCTTCAAGACGGTCCAGGAGGCCGCTGAGAAGGCCTCTGGGTGCAGAAAACTAGACTTTCTCATGGAAAACGTACATTTCTATGATATTTGTTTCTTATGTTCCATCGGCGGCCACGTCAGCCCCAAAGGCTCCCAAAATTGGCGCCACACGGTCCAAGAGGCCCCCAAGAGGGCTCCAAGACAGCCTCAAGAGAGCGTCGAGAAGCACAAGAGAGCTCCAAACCAGCCCGAGGGAGTCCCCAGGGGGCCCGAGGGAGCCACCTGAGGATCCCTACATGGTCGGAGAGGGCTCCATGAGGGCCCCAAGACGGCTCAGCTACCCATGACATGCCAAGAGGAGGGGCTTCGGACAGCCGAACTGGGCTCCCAGACGGGCCACAAAAGGCCCAAAAGGATCCCCCACGACTGTGCAAGAGGCCGCTGAGAAGGCCCCCCAAGGGCAAAATCAAGCATTTCCGATAGCAAAAACATATGTTTCTGGGAGCTTTGCTTCAGTTCTACAAGCAGTCGCGACGGCCCAAGAGGTTACCAAAAGGGGCCCAGACGGCTTCATAGGCCCCAAAAAGGGTTCCAAGATGGGCTGAAGAGAGCTTCGAGCGCCACAGAGGAGCTACAAGACGGCCCAAGAGAGCCCCCAGGAAGCCCGAGGGGGCCACCGGAGGATTCCTACATGGGTCGGAGAGGGCCCCAGGAGGGCCCCAAGACGGGCTGAGCTCCCCACGACGAGCCAAGAAGGACCCGGAACGGCCGAAATGGGCTCTCAGACCGGCCAACAAAGGCCCCAAAGGACTCCAAAGGAAGGCCCGGAGAGGCTCCAGAGACTGCCACAATGCTTCCAAAAGGCTCCCGGCACGCGTTCCAGTCAGCACCCGTGTAGTGGGTGCGTTAGGAGAAAAGAGGAGGAGGAGGAGGAGGAGGAGGAGGAGGAGGAGGAGGACGAGGAGGAGGAGGAGGAGGAGGAGCAGGAGGAGGTAGGGGAGTAGGAGGATTGTTGTGATGGTGATGGTGAAGGTGACCATGACCATGACGATGACGATGACGGGGATGACGATGATAATGATGACGATGATCATGACCCTGGCTAGAACTTGAGTGCGCGCGAAGCGCGTGCGATGGTTCTAGTATATCTACATATATGTGTACATATGTGTGTTCACATGCATTTGCACGTACGTATGTATGTGTATATGTCTCTGATGGCCTTTGGCCCATCCCGCCAGTGCCTGGGTTGTGGGTATAGTTGAAGCCTAGTGGATGTTCGTTGGGATCTCGCGGAAGGCCTCTCGGGGGCCTCTTGGGGGCAGTTTGGAGGCCTTTGGGGGGCCGTTGTGGGACCTCTTGGGGCTTCTTTGGGGCCTCTTGGGGGCCTCTTGGGAGCCTCTTGGGGCCTCTTGGGGGCTTCTTGGCTCCTGAGCGCCTCTGTCGGCTGGTGGCCTTCTGCAGTGGAAACTCGGATTTTCGGTTCCTCTTTTGGACCTTTTTGGGAGCCGTCTTGGGGCCCGGGCAGTCTTGGGCGCCTCTTGGGCTGTCTTGGTGCGCTCTTAGGCCATCTTGGGGCCCTTTTGGAAGCCTCTTGGGCCGTTTGGGGGATATCGGGAGCTTCCTGGGCCGTCTTGGAGCGTCGGAAAGCCGAAAAAGCGAGAACGCCAAGCACCTCCTTTAGCGTGTAGGCAAAGGACCAGAGGACACCAACTCCGTACCCAGAGGCGCGGTCTCGGAGATGCTTGCGTATATGCAGGTATGTACGTATGTATGTATGTGTGTATGTATGGATATTTGTCTGTATGTATGTGAATATACATACATACAGAAATCGAGTGAGCGACATATCTGGATACATACACACATATATCGTGCCGCGTATGTACGTAAATGTGTATCGATCTACATGGATAACTTTGCATGCGTGTATGCATCTGCGCCCCGATCTACGCACCTAGATGCCCTTTCTCTCGTTCGCTATTTGAATCCATGTTGCTTTCGCACATGTTTGGGCACATCACCCATCTACCCCACGACCCCTTTTCCAAAGCAGCAGCCATGAGCTCAATAGCTTCCGGCTCCGAAGTGACGCCCATTCAGTGTATCTATTTGTATGCGTGTAGATACACATGTGTTCTATAGGTGGATCCACCTCTTCCTGTGCGCGCATTAACCGTATATGACTGTACGCTCTACCTGGTCTACATTTATATACATATATAACCGGGGTTTCAGGTCCCCGGGGGGGCCCGGCCCCATGTCACCATGGCGGCACCGGGGCTCCAAGACGGCTAAGATGGCTTCAGAGATGCCTCCAAGACCGCCAAGGTGGCCTCAAACAAGTCCAAGATGGCCCCAAGATGCACCCTACACGGCCCAACATGGGGTCAAGATAGCTCAAGATAGCCTCCAAGGCGGCCAAGACGCCTCGAAAACATCCCTTGGGACAGCCCGAAGAAGCGAAAATCATCGATGTCGCGTTGGTTTTTGAAGGATTGTTGGATTTGCTTTTTCTTCGTCTTGAGAGTGCCTCCGAAATAGCCCCGTCCATGGCGGCACCGGGGCTCCAGGACCCCCCGTTCCCGGAATAAGACGGCTTAAATGGCCTCCAAGATGGCCAAGATGGCCCATGATGGTTTCAGAGATGCTTCCAAGAGCGCTAAGATGGCCTGAAGAGAGCCCAATGTGTACCCTACACGGCCCAATACAGGGTAAAGATGACTCAAGATAGCCTCCGAGGCAGCCAAGACGACTCCAAGACATCCCTTGGGAAAGCCCGAAGAAGCGAAAATCATGTTCCTCGTTGATTTTCATTAGATTTTCGGATTATTTTTTTGGTTCGGCCTGCCGTCGGTCCAGAGAGCCCAAGAGGTTCCCAGATCACCCCCAGAGCGCACCCAGAGCACCCAAGAGGCCTCCACGATAGCTCCGTGACGGTCCAAGAAGCCACAATGACTGCTCCAGGAGGGCCCCAAGACGGCCCAAGAGGGTTCACACCGCTTGAGAGTGCCTCCAAGACAGCCCCGTCCATGGCGGCACCGCGGCTCCAGGACCCCCCGTTCCCAGTCCAAGACTGCCTTGATGGCTTCGAAGAAGCCAAAATGGCCCATGATGGCCTCAGACATGCCTCCAAGACCGCTCAGATGGCGTCAAGAGAGCCCAAGATGGCCGCAAGATGCACCCTGCATGGCCCAAGATGGGGTCAAGATTGCCTCCGAGGCGGCCAAGACGCCTCCAAGACACTCCTTACAGCCCGAAAGAGCGAGAATCATTGATTTCTCGTAGGTTTTTGGAAGATGTTTGAATTTTTTTTTCTCGGCCTGCCGACGTGCCGACGGTACAGATGGCCCACGAGGCTCCCAACATCGCCCACAGAGCGCCCACGAGGCCTCCACGATAGCTCCGTGACAGCCCAAGAAGTCCCAAAGACGGCTCCAGGAGGGCCCCAAGACGGCCCAAGAGGATTGACAACGCCTAATATTGCCTCCAAGACAGCCCCGTCCATGGCGGCACCCGGGCTCCAGGACCCCCCGTTCCCGGTCCAAGACGGCCTAAATGGCCTCCAAGATGTCCCATGATGGTTTCCGAGATGCTTCCAAGAGCGCTCAGATGGCCTCAATAGAGCCCGAGATGCACCCTACACGGCCCAATATGGAGTCAGAATGGCTCAAGATAGCCTCCGAGGCGGCCAAGACGCCTCCACGACATCCCTTGGGAAAGCCCGAAAAGCAGCAGTCATAGATTTCTTGCTGTTGTTCGAAGGTGTTGTGCTTTTGTACTTTTACACTCCTGCCCTGCGCATCGCAAACTATGGATACGAGAGTTCCGTAGGCACTGCAAGAAGCTAATTACGCGCGCGAAGCGCGCATGCTTCTAGTATGGTATGTGTATACAGAGAGGTACGTGCATCTCAACGCATATGAATGTGCATGTAGGTCCATCTGTACAAACACATAGATGTGTGTGTGTGTGTGTTTGCCGAACGATGTGCACATACACATTCACGCTTATACATGTGTGTGGGGCATAGTTTGGCTCAAGTAGATCCCAGTCGCACTCACGCCAGAGCTTGGCAAAAGTCCGAGCTCAGCTCTCCTGACACTCGCGCCTCCCGCACCCGATTCCTGCTGTCGGAATGACAGGCAGGGCCATGTCTCGGGCCGCGAGTGTGCATGCTTTTCTCTGTCTTCTCTTGCTCCGCCGCGGGAGCGGGTACGGCGCCTACCAGAACAGCTTCCGGTGCAATGTTCCCGACGCATACACCGATGCCGAGTTGCAGGACCTGACGTCCTTCAATTGCGCCTTCGTCGACGCGTGGACGTCCGAGGTCGATGAGGCCATCGCGGAGGGGCTCCACGAGATCGTCACGCACAGCGAGGAGCAGCGGGCCGCGTGGAAGGCCCGCAGCGGCAACGCCTCCGATGCGTGCTGGACTTCGAAGAAGACAAACAAAACTCCATACACACAGAAGCGGTTGGAGTTCCGCGCAACTTGCTTGGATCGGCGCTGAACGCGCCCCTTGCCCTGGCGCGCGGCGCGTGCCAGTGGCGCCGCCGGAGGCGCCGACAGGGGGGCCCAGCGCCGACCCAAGACATCCGCGCGGAGCTCCAAAAGTTTATGTTTAAGCCGCCTGTTCTTACCAGCCTAGAACATATCCCTATCCCTATGCTGGGCATCTCCTCATCACGATGCCAATCTTAGGGATTCCCTTATTTTTCGAGGGCGCATCCCTAAGATTGTCATCGTTTTTTGGCGTGTCAATCTTAGGGATAGGGATACGTTCGAGGCTGGTAACGAAAACTTGTGTTTGAGCCGCCTGTTCTGCCGCCAGGACCGCCAGAAGCCTGGACGCAAGCGGGGACCACCTGGGCGCCGCCAACCTGTCCATCAATGCCTGGGGGTCGATCGTTCGGCAGGGGGCCACCTGCTGCACGCTGCTCCACCCGCCCTACTGCGTGGACCAGGACTGGTCGGCGTCCACCGACAAAGATGAAAGCAGAAACCACGAAGCCACTACGCGTGTGTATATATATATATATATATGTACACACATATATATACATGTATATATCCATGTACATCATGTGTGTATCTCTCTCTATATATATGTATATATATATATACATATATATATATATATTGGAGCACCTAAAGGAAGGCGAGCAGAAACGCAAACATCACTGAGTCAAGCCAAGAAGTGCCACTAACACTGTCACGTCTAGGCGCCGCTACCAAACCTCGTTGCGCCAACAATAAAACAACACCTACGACATCCGCACATACAGTACAACATCTAACGATATCACTGGGCATACCTATACGTACACAAATAATAGCACACGTATCTTAAAGTACTATATATGCAAATGTATATGACAATACACATTATTGGTTTTCAAGATAGGACTGGTCGGCGTCCACCGTGGCCCTGCTGGCTCCGCTGGCCTTCCTGGCCTTCCTGTTCGCGGGGGTCCTCCTGGCCTCTTGCCGCGCTGCCCCGCAGAAGGCGCCGAGGAACTACCAAACTGCGCAGCTCATAAGCTTTCGGAGCTCCGCGAGGCTTCTTTTTCGGTTGCGAAATCCGAATCCCTTCGGAGGCGACAAGGTTCTTGGCGATTTCTGGCTCTGAGGGCCGCTTTCGGGCCGTGGGGCCGTCAGGAACGGGTCCGGGGCGAGGGAGGGGTCCCCGGGGACCGTTTTTTGGAGCGGCTTCGGCCTCGTCGCCCTAATTACCCTCGCCGAGCCACGATTCGAGCAGCCCGACGTGCGGCGGGGGTAGGGCTCGGAAGCTGGCGAGCACGCGGCAAAAGCCGAGCCCTGCCCCCGCGTCCCGTCCATTCAGGAGAGCCGATGCTTGGCGGGGGGGTTAGGGTTCGGATGTCGCCACCTCTTCCTGGGGCGGCGCCTGGGGGCCCCCCGGGCGGCGCCTTCGGCGCCGCCCCCGGCTCGCTGGGCGCGCTAGGGAGGAGGGGCACAGCGCCGCTCCCGCAGATCCGCGCGGAGCGTAGAAAGTTTGCGTCCGTGCCGCCTTTTTGCCCCCGCACAAGGAGAGGGAGTGCTCAATACACACTTTTTGGTCGGCGGGGCGAGAGCGAACCTCTTCCGCTAAAAGCTAGGCGGGCTACGCACAGCTCTAATTGGGGAGACAGGGCGCAGGCGGGCGGGGCCTCAGGCGGCCGGAGAGGGCGGGGCCCAGGGTGCAGGCGGTGAGCGCTCAATGCACACACCACCGCAGATAGGGGTCCGATAGCTTGCCACTGGGCGATGACCTGGCCGATCTATAGGCGATGTATCGCCGACTCCATGTGCGCGACCCAGAATTTAATGGGGCCGTCTGCGCCGACATTCGCGCGTGAGCTTCGCACGTGAGGTTGCACGTGGGCGCCCTCGTTTCTCGTTTCTGATGTGGCGTGCCGCGCTTGCGGCCCGCGGAAGCCCCCGCGCAAGGTCGGTATGCCATCTCGCGCAAGACCCGTCTCTCTTCGTTGATCGTTTTCTTATTCATTGTTTTGCCGATCGGCGCGGGCCCTGGCCCCCCCCCCCTCCCCGCCCTCCCCTGGAGTGGATCTTGGCTATTTTTTGGCGCCTGTTTCGAGCAGGTGGAGCCTCCTCTCCATGGGACGCACTGCTGCAAACAGTCGCACTGCGCAGAGGTCCGGAGCTGGACCCCCCGTCCCCCCGCCCCTTCCTCCCAATGTCGAAAGGCCGAGTCAAAAAAAAACGCTCACTACTCAGGTCTCTGGACGCCCGAGATTGGCACGGAAAGAATGGGTACAATGCCCAACAGGGGCCCAACAGCAGTTCCTGTTCATTTTGAACAGGATTCGCTGTTCACGCCGCCGCGGCCTGTGTCCATTCGAGACAGAAGGCCGCCTGCCCAACAGCGGCCGCTGTTGGATTGGGACAACATTTGTTGTTGGGCATTGTACCCATTCTTTCCGTGCCCATTCCGGGCGTCCAAAAGGTCGAAGTTTATGCATGTTCTGCTGTTCCCCTTCCGGAAGGAGCCAGCTGGCCTCTCGGAGGGCGCCGGCGCGGGGCGGGGCGCACCCGCACCGGCGGCGAGCGCCTCCCGCAGGCGGGAGCTGCAGGCCGGCGGGCACCGGCTGCACGGCAACCGCACGCGGAGGGGGGAAGGGGCTTGGCATCGCTCGGACGTTTGCAGTTTTCCTTCGGCGAGGACCATCGAGGAGCATCCTTGATCGTTTGGCGAAAAAGCCACGCACGAAACCAATAAAAAATACAGGAAATGGACGTCCGAGCGATGGCGAGAGGGGGAAGAGGGGGTGAGAGGACAAGCTTCAAGTCGGGCGTGCCCCTCTGCAGGAGGAGTATTCAAACACATGAACAAATGGTCCGGGGACGTTCTTTCGACCATATTTGGAGTATTCTTAATTTGTCGTCCCAGATGCCCCTTTAGGGGGAAATTCTCGACCTAAGACAAGCTGGGTGCGCTAGCGTCATATCTGACGTCCTACCCCTTCCTCACAGCCCATACCATGGCGAGGGTCTCCTCTCGATTGTGAAGGCTTTAGGGCCGGTGCCGCCGACTCAGAAGGACGACGACGACGACCACGACGGCAACGACAACGACGAGCTGATGACCCTGCCACAAGCTCGGGACATGGGGCGGGCGGTGGAGGGAGGAGGAGGAGCAGGAGGAGGCTGAGGAGGAGGAGGCGGAGGAGGAGGAGGCTGAGAGAAGAAGGTCTGACGTCCTACACCTCCCTCCCATCCCTCACCATGGCGTAAATCTCCTCTATATTTGCGCAGTCGGATGTCGAGCAGGACAGTGACCCCGAGAGAGTGCGCGATGCCTGGTAGAGCACGGCACAGCATGGCGTAGGAGAGCACGGCAGAGCGTAGCATGTCAGAGCATGACGTGGCATTGCGTGGAGGGCCTCCGAAGAGCAGGCCCAGATCTCAGACGAGCGTATATGTTCTGGATCCGCGCGCTCTTCGCCGACGCGCGCGGCCCCCTCGGGGCCAGCTGTGGGGCCCGGAGCCGTCAGGGCGAAAGTCTTGGTCCCTGGGAAGGCTTCGAGGCGCCCCTTGGGCCCGCAGACCGAAACAAACCGATTGGTCGGCGGATGGGAACGCGTCGGGGCAGCCCGACTGGCCCCCCAGGTGGGCCAGGCTGCCCTCACCACGTCCCTCCAGCAGGCCCCCCCAGAGTGGAGGGTTTCTCCGAAGGCCTTAGGCGAACCGTCCTCCTCCTCGTCCCCCTCCTCCTCCTCCTCCTCCCCTCCTCCTCCTCCTCCTCCTCCTCCTCCTCTCCTCCTCCTCCTCCTCCTCCTCCTCCTCCCTCCTCCTCCTCCTCCTTCTCCTCCTCCTCTTCCTCCTCCTCCTCCTCCCTCCTCCTCCCTCCTCCCTCCTCCTCCTCCTCCTCCTTCTCCTCCTCCTCCTCCTCCTCCTCCTCCTCCTCCTCGGGTCGGGTATGGCTCTTGGGGAAACCGTGCACGCCAGGTGCAGCCAGGGTCTACTCGGGGGGCCTGTCGAGGCCAGCTGGGGCTCCTCGGGTGCGCCTGTGGAGGCCGCAACGGGGACTGCATGGGTGGGCTGTGTGTGTGTGTGTTTGTATTTTTTTTTTTTTTTGTGTGTGTGTGTGTGTGTGTGTGTGTGTGTGTGTGCAGCCCGAAGCCTTTTGGCATCGCTCGGAGGCGCTCCCAGGCGCTTCCCGGCGCTGCCAGGCGCTCCCAGGCGTTCCCCGGCGCTCCCAAGCGCTCCCAGGCGTTCCCAGGCGTTCCCAGGCTCCCAACAGCGCCCAGGCGCTCCCAAGCGCTCCCAAGCGCTCCCAAGCGCTCCCAAGCGCTCCCAGGCGCTCCCAAGCAGTTCCAGGCGCTCCCAGGGTTCGCAGGCGATCCCAGGCGCTCCCAGGCGCGCCCAGGCGCGCCCAGGCGGTCCCAGAACGTGTTCGTGTTTCCCGGCGAGGCCAGCGCCAGAAGAGCTGGACCATCCTGGAGCATCTCGGGCCACACGTGCGCGGCCAGAAGCAGAGGAGCGGGCACTGGACGTCCTAGCGATGCCAAGAAGCACCGTCTCACAAGGCGGCGGCCCCTCTTCTGAGAAGCTGGTGAGCTTCTCAGAAGCTGCTCTTGGTGTGCTTAAGAAGCTCTCAGTTTCTCTGCGAAGCTGCCCCGTGCTTCTAAGGGACGCTGCTGGGGAGTTCCTAGCAAGCGACACGGTCGGCGCCTTCTGAGAACCGGCCTCCTTCTAAGAAGGCCTCCTCCCTCCCCCAAGCCTCCTTAGGCCCATAGGCGTGCCGCCAAGTGCACCCATATCGTTCTGAGCCATGAGGCCGATCTTGGGCCTGGGATCGGTGCACGCCGTATACGCCGCCCTGGCCGGGGGGGCACTGCGGCTAGCCTGGGCCACGGGCGCAAGTGAGCACCACCGAGCCTGAGGGTCTGCTGCGGGGCCGGGGAGGGAGCGCAGGATGCGCTGCTTGTGCCCGGGGATGTGTAAGTCGAACCCAAATATGAGACGTTCTGATTCTTTCACGACGGCGTCCCCGGAAGTCGAGGCGGTCTTTCATCCCGAGTCGTCTTGTTGACGGTCCTGGGGCCCGGCGAGGGCCCCAGGGGCCGAAAATGGCGGAAAAATTGCCGTCCTGATCTTTTAACGACGCGATCATGGTTGAGAAACGTTTGTGGCGACCTCTATGCAGCCACCACCACGGTGTTCACCCGGCCCGCGCCACTTCCGTGCACTGCTCACGGCCCCCTGCGAGGGGGGCAGCAGATCGTGCGGCGTCCGGTCCCATCTTGGGCCCACGGAACCTCGAGATCCGATCCGATCCTTTTCCTCCTCCGCCTCCTCCTCCTCCTCCTCCTCCTCCTCCTCCTCACGCCTCCTCCTCCCCCTCCTCCTCTTCCGCCTCCTCCTCCTCCTCCCCCTCCTCCTCCTCCTCCTCCTCCTCCTCCTCCTCCTCCTCCTCCTACTCCTCCTCCTCCTCCTCCTCCTCCTCCTCCTCCCCCTCCTCCTCCTCCTCCTCCTCCTCCGCCTCCTCCTCCTCCTTCTCCTCCTCCTCCTCCTCCTCCTCCTCTGCGTGCGCGGCTGGCGCCCTCCCGCGCAGGCGCTCCTGGAGTCCGCCTGGCTGGAGGGCCACTGCCTGCGCGCCCTGCCGCACGCGGCCCTGTTCGCGGGCCCCACCGCGAGCCTCTTCGCCGGGCTCACCGACGCCTTCCAGTTCCAGGAGCCGAAGAAGAACGTCCTTCTCCTCCTCCTCGTCCTCCTCCTCCTCCCCCTCCTCCTCCTCCTCCTCCTCCTCCTCTCTTCCTCCTCCTCCTCCTCCTCCTCCTCCTCCTCCTCCTCCTCCTCCTCCTCCTCCTCCTCCCCCTCCTCTTCCTCCTCTTTCTCCTCCTCCCCCTCCTCCTCCTCGTCCTCCTTCTCCTCTTCCTCCTCCTCCTCCTCGACCAGCGTCGATCGGCGGGGCTAGTTTTTCACGGGGTAACATAGGGGGGAGGGGGGGAGGTTTCCGAGAGGCACCCCTGCTTCTGAGAAGGCGCGGGCCTTTCCTGTAGATGTGGGGCCGGCACCTTCGAAGAAGCGGCCTCCTTCTCAGAAGCCTTCCCCCTCCCCCGACCCCGTGTGCGCGCCGCCAACGGATGGGTCCGAGCAGATAGGGTCGGAGGATCGCGCCGCACCGCCGATGCATCAGCGATGCGGCTCGATGTGGAGGCCGATCTTCTCCACGCCGACGCCGCCGATGTATCGCCGACGTCACCGGTGCATCGGCGATGCGGCACCGGTGCATCGGCGATGCGGCGCGATCCTCCGTCCCTGTCTGCTCCGACTCCACCTGCGAGGCCTCTGGGCACATGGCATAAGCATCGGAATTCTCGGGGCGGCGCTGGGCCCCCATCCCTGGCGCGCGGAGCTCGCCAGGGGGCCCCGGGCGCCGACGCAAGAAGTCCGCGCGGACCTCCGCGCTATGCCTGCTTTTTCCACCCGCTGCTCCTCAGCGGTGGGCCATTTTGAGCGGCAGTGGGCCTTCGCGAAGGGCCCGTGCCGCCACGGCTGGACGCAGCGCGGAGAAGCGGCGCGCTTGGACCCCGGGAGGGGTCCGGGGACCGACAACGAACTCCCAGTGTCTCAAACCGCCTTGCTCCGGGTTCGCTCAGGAGGCGACAACCCACCTCTCCACCCCCAGTCCCGACTCCCCTCCTCACCACCCACCAAACCATCCCAACCCAACCCGCAGGCTTCAATTTGCCCTCCATTTCCAGTGGGGGGGTTCGGGGAACATCGACAAAAACACATGGTCCCCGTACCCCCCCAACCTGAAATTCGGGTCAAATTCGTGTCTTCGGGTTGGGTTGGGGTGGTCTGGTAGGTAGTCACATCCCCGAGCCGGCGATTCAATAGGTCGGGACTGGGGGTGGGGCGTTTTTTCTCTGTTCTCGGGTGCGGGGGTGGGGTCGGGACTGGGGGTGGGGGTGGGCATGCGCCTTCCCGTTCTCCCGAGGAGGACAACGCGAAGAACCAGCACGAGCACCTGCTGTCCCTGTGGCGCTCGCAGCTCTCCATGGTGGCCGACAGGGCCTACGAGGGGGCCGGCGCGGAGGTCGACGAGCAGGGGCTGCTGAGGGAGGCGCTGGGTGACCTGCACGCGGAGCTCCTGGACGGCTTCCTGCGCTGGAGGGAGGCCTTTTACGGCTTCGAGGGCTCGGGCATGGAGGCTCGGCGGCGAGCGAGGGGGGGGGGGGGGAGGGGAGAAGGGACGGGCCTTCCCGGAGGGCTCGGCCGCCCCCCGGACTGTCCGAGAAGTTCCCTGCGCCCTCCCCCACGACGCAGGAAGCTTCCCAGGAGGCCACGAGGGCTTCTGACGAGCCCTGCCGCCTGCCGAGGAGGCCTTCTCCTTCTCTCGCTTCCCCCCCGCGCCCGCCGCTGGGAGGCGAAGGGTGGCCTGCCGCCGATGTGCGGGGCCAGCTGGGAGCCCCTGCGTGGGGTCGGCACCGGCGACGCGGACGAGGATCCGAGGAGGGCCAGTCTTAGGCCGGGCCTGTCCCCCTACAAGGGGATTTTCGACGAAAAATTTAAGATACCCCAGAAATGCCCCAAGAAGGTCAAAACATACTCGAAAAATTGTCCCCTGACTATTTTTGGATCATTTGTTTTGGATTATTTTTTGGGGTATTTTTTTTTTCTTCGTCGAACATCCCCCTGCAGGGGGACAGGCCCGACTTAAGGCCAGTCGAGGCAGCGGCGCTTGGCCTTTGGGTGGGGGGTCCACGGCGGGGCGCAGCTCGGAAACTTGGCTCGTGTGGAAAGTCGGCTGCGTTTGTCCCTCCTCACGCCTCCTCTACTTCCTTACTTCCTCCTGCTCCTCCTGCTCCTCCTCCTCCTGCTCCTGCTCCTCCTCCTCCTGCTCCTCTTCCTCCTCCTCCTGCTCCTCCTCCTCCTCCTCCTTCTCCTCCTCCTCCTCCTCCTCCCCTCCTCCTCCTCCGCCTCCTCCTCCTCCTCCTCCTCCTCCTCCTCTCCTCCTCCTCCTCCTCCTCCTCCTCCTCCTCCTCCTCCCCCGCCTACTTCCATGCTCAGCACGCTCGCCGCTTCACCTAATCGTCATTGTTTCACCATTTCTGCCAACGCACCTATGTTGTGCACGGCTTCTGTCTGTCTTGGAACCCGGGAGGGATGTTTTGACCGACTTTGAGTGGCCGTTCTCTCAACTCGCCCTGTTCCGAGAGGAGCTCTCGCGGCAGCTGGCAGAGGTCGTCGCTTTCCTGCTGGTCTGGGGCGAGGCTGGGAACCTGCGCTTCATGCCAGAGGTTGTCTATTTCATCACCGACCTCGTGCTGTCGTCGGAGCCCCACGACCTGAGCGAGCTCTATCAGCTGCAGGGACAGCCCACCGGCGACAGCGGCCTGTTCCTCGCCAGGATCGTGCGGCCCATGTACAACTCGATCTTCGACGAGTGGTATTCGAAGAAGAAGCAGGGCATGTTGATGTTCTTTCTGAGCTCCGCATCGGTTTCTGGGATCTGCGCTGGACCCCCCTGGCGGCGCCTCTGGCGCCGACCCTGGTGTGGGGGGGTTCGGCGCAGATCCAAGAAATCCGCGCGGACCGCCGAATTTTGTGTGTATATATATATATGTATATATATATGTATTTACTATGATTTTCCTCTTTTAGGTACGACAAGGTGGACGTGCACCCTGGAAACCAGAAGGACGTCAAGAAGCTACGCGACGGGTTCGACGCCTACCTGCCTGGGAACGTCGCCAACTACGACGACTGGAACGAGCTCTTCTGCGACCCCGCCAGGCTGGCCGAGGGGTTGCTCCTGCAGGAGCTGGGAGAGGGAGCGCCCAGATTAAGTGGAGAAGCAGGTCATACGTGCCAAGATTTCCAAGGTTTCCAGGGGCTCCAAGATGTCCCACACGTGCTGCAGAAACGATGACCGTTGGGTACTCTGCAAAGGGGGGAAAATGGGCGTGGTGTAGAAAGGTGCGGTGCTGGCGCTGGAAATGGTGATATTATCGACGATATCCGCAAGTGCCTTACATGCCGATGTCAACCACGTTGGTTTCGCGACGGCCGCATCAAGCGACGTCAGACCTTCAGGTTCGGACTCTTCCAAGCGAGGCCCGTCCAATCCGAACGGCTGCGCAATACCACTTCCAGGACGTCTTATCGCCAGGAACGCGATTCTGGAAATGTCGGAATTTCCGGAATTCGCTCCTGTGATTTCGGAATTTCCGGAATCATTGTTGGTAATTTTGGAATTTCCAGAACGCCGTTTCGGAATTCCCGGAATCTCTGGAAACCATGCTTTTGGGGATTCGGAATTTCCGGAATCTTTCTGTTCGCGATTCGGAATTCCAGGAGTCGTTTTATTTGCGATTCGATATTTAGGGGTCGCGGAGTTGGCGATCGGACAATCTGGCATTAGCATGTGCGTCGTTGTCTCAATCTGATTGCGGCCGTTCGGGATATACGGAATCAGGTCTGACGTTGTTCGGCGCAATCATCACACGGCCGACGTGATTAATCTCCGAATGTAAGTCACTTGCAAATCTCTTCGGTCATATCACCATTTCCAACACTAACACCGCACCCCTTTACACCTCTCTCCTATCCCTCTTCCAAAACCCTTGAGCTCCTGGAACGTACCCTGAGCCAACCGCTTCATGACATTATTCCCATCCTACAAGACTCGTCAACCATACATTGGCGTTTTTTTTCGGTGCTTGCGTGGTCGGCGCTATTTCAATGTTGGCGTGAGGTATTCGGCCCAGACGCAGGGGTGTCCGAAATCCAGCAGCACCCTCACAGCATTGAAGAACGCGTTTTTGACAGGCGCCCAAACTATCGAGCGCTTCGATTTTGAACCGCGTGTCAACCTATTTTTGACGAAGCTTAATTGTCAAACACACGCCACCACCGAGCCTCCGTGCGGGCCGAGCTCGGGCCCAGCCCTGGTGCAGGTCGCACCGCGGCTGAGCCGCGAGGGCCGCGCCCATCGGACCTGGCCCCCCCGCACCCGTGGGGCGCTCCAGAGACGGCGTCGCCTTCGAGGACCGAAGGAGATGGCCTTCGAAGAAGAAAAAACGCCATACACAAACTTTTGGCGCTCCGCGCGGATTTCTTGGATCCGCGCTGGGGCCACCCGGCGGTGCCGGAGGTACTCGACGAGTGGTATTCGAAAAACAAACAGGGCATACTTTATTTTTAACTTGCGCGAAGGAGCCCAGTGGCACGACGGACGACGGACGAACGAAGGACGACGACGAACAACGCCCAGAGAGCACGCGAGGGGGGGGGGGTCCGGCGCAGATCCGAGAAGTCCGCGCGGAGCGCCCAACGTTTCTGGTGAATTGTGGCGTTCTCTCTTCTTCTGGGCACCTCTGCCTCGCCGGCTGGGCGGTGGCAGCCGGCGGCAGCAGAACGAGTGCGCTTCCGCCCTGCGGCACTCTCGCGGAGGCGCCCGGGCCGCGCCCAGCGAGGCCGCCTCTCGGAGCCCTGCTGCCCGCTGGCGCCGTGTCGCCCCGCCTTCCCCCCCCGTGTAAGGTGCCCGCCGTGGCCCGGGCTTTGGGGCGCGCTCCGCGCCTGCCAGCCCCGCGCAGCCCCCTTCGCCCCACCGCCCAGTTCGTCGTAACGCTTGTTCGTTTCGTTTTGTTGTGTGTAAGTCTGCATGTGCGTTTGTATATGTCCACATAAGTGTGTAAGTGTGTATGAAAGAATGTATGTGTGTAAGTATGGAGGTGTGTATGTATGTGTGTATGTCATGCATGTGTGTAGGTATGTATGATTGCATGCATGTCTGCACGCTTGTATGCATGACTATTTGTATGTATGTCTTTGTGTAAATATATAGATGTGTGTAGTGTAAGCGCACATACATTTGTGCAGTATGTAGTTTGAACGCACAAATGTATGTATGTTTGTATGTAAGGGTACGCATGAATGCGCATATACATATATATATATATATATATGTTTGTATACATTTGTATATGTACGTATTCATGTATGCATGTATGCATGTATATACGTCTGTCTGTCCGTCCGTCCGTTTGTCTGTCTGTCTATCTGACTGTCTATCTGACTGTCTGTCTGTCTGTCTGTCTGTCTGTCTGTCTGTCTGTGTGTGTCTGTGTGTGTCTGTCTGTCTGTCTGTCTGTCTGTCTGTCTGTCTGTCTGTCTGTCTGTCTGTCTGTCTGTTTGTGTGTCTGTATGTATGTATGTATGTATGCATGCATGCATGCATGTATATATGCATGCATGTATGTATGTATGCATGTATCAATGTATGTATGTATGCATGCATGCATGCATGCATGCACGTATGTATGTATGCATGTATGCATGTATGTATGTATGTATGTATGTATGTATGTATGTATGTATGTATGTATGTATGTATATATGTATGCATGTATGTATGTATGCATGTAGGTAGGTAGGTAGGTAGGTAGGTCGGTAGGTCGGTAGGTCGGTAGGTCGGTAGGTCGGTAGGTCGGTATGTATGTATGTATGTATGTATGTATGTATGCATGCATGCATGCATGCATGCGTGCATACATGCATGTATGTATGCATGTATGTATGTATGTACGTACGTACGTACGTATGTATGTATGTATGTATGTATGTATGCATGTATGTATGTATGCATGTATGTATGTATGTATGTATGTATGTATGTATGTGTGTAGATATCGTGCATACCTGTATGAAGAAAGCACAGCTATGCTCAACATCCTGGAACATATCCCGATCCCTATGACTGGCATCGCTTCATCTCGATTCCGATCTCAAGGATTCCCTATTTTTTGGAGGGCGCCTCCCTGAGGAGGAGGAGGAGGAGGAGGAGGAGGAGGAGGAGGAGGAGGAGGAGGAGGAGAGGAGGAGGGGGAGGGTCTCCCTGCCCTCCCTTCTCCCCCGCCCCACCCAGTGGCGGTGGCACATTTTGCCCACCGCTCGGCACCCTCGCACCTCGGCCGCCCGCCCCCAGCTGCCCGCACACGGCGCTGCCTGCCATGGCCCGCGGGCTCCGTGGACGCACTGCGCTGGCCCCCCCAGGCGCCCCGCCCCCCGCCTCTCCGCTGCCGCCGCCTCCGCCCCCCGCCTCTCCGCTGCCCCCGCCCCGCTGCGCCCCTCTCGGCCCTCCGCTCCCGGCGCCTCGCGGCGCCCCTCGTGCGCGGCCCTCGCCGCGCCCCGGGGCCTCGCCTGCCCTCCATGGCGGCCGCCCTCTGGCGGCCCCCCTAGGGCCAGGCAGGGGCCGCCTCGACAGGCCGCACCTGGGCACGGCCCTCCCGCTGCGTTTCCTGGCGCCGCGGGGCAGGTCCCGGGCCTCCGGCCCAGCTCGGGCGGCCTGGCGCTCCCCCGCCCGAGGGGCCCCCGGGCAGCCGTGGGCGGCGCGCGCAGGGGAGCGGCCCTGTGGCCCTGGGGCCACCCCGCCCGCACCTTGCCGCCCGCGCTGCGCGCGGGGCCGGCCTCCTGCCTGCGGCCCGCCTCGCCGGCGCTGTCTCCGTGCCGGCGCTCGGCTTGCCGGGGCCTCGTCTGCCTGCTGCCTCGCCCAGCCTCGGGCCGCCGCCGTGGCTCGCCACCGCGCCTCCGTCCCTCTCGGCTGCACTGCGCACTGGGCTCTGATCGCCGTCTCGCCGCTCCCCCCGTCTTCCCCTCCCCCCTTCCTGGCTGCTCCGCTCGCGCCTTGCCCCCCCCCTCCCCCCGCGAGCGATGCCGTTGCTCCCCAGATGGGCGGACCCAGCACCTCCACGCCGCGTGGCCTGGGCCAGCCGCACGCGCCGCTCCGCCCGACTCTCTCGCTGCGCCGCGCCGCTGCGCGCGTGGCCGCGGCGCCAAGAGTGTGTGTGTGTGTGTGTGTGTGTTTGTGCTGGCCACGCGGAGAAGGGGGGTAGGGGGAGGGGGGAAGGCTTCCCAGAATCGAAGAAGAAGAGCCGCCGTAAACAGGAAACGTTTGCGCTCCTCGCGGATATCTTGGAACTGCGCTGGACCCCCTCCCTGGCGTGCGGAGCGTGCCAGGGAGGGTCTAGCCGCGCGCGCTAGTTCCTTGCTGCTTGCTCGACTTGTTCCGCTCTGACGCTGCGCGCGAGGCTTTGATCGCCACAACAGAGTGTGTGTGTGTGTGTGTGCGTGCTTGCGCGCGTACTCTCTAATAAGCATGTGCCGGCTCCGCCTGTATACCCACTTGGTTGGTTGCAGCTTGCACGTGCGCTCGCCTAGCGCAGCTACCCAAACACAACGCCAGGTGGGCACCTTTGCACGCCGAGTTCCTGTAAATGTTTCCTGCGCAGAGCATTGCCTCCACAGTCTGGTGGGATTATGCTCTAACGTGTCGCGTTTTGAGCTCTCGCTGCAGTAGCGTTTCTCGGCCTCCGGAGGAAAAGTGTGTGTGTGTGTGTGTGTGCTCTCTCTCTCTCTCTCTCTCTCTCTCTCTCTCTCTCTCTCTCTCCCCCAGGAGGGCACCAGGCTCTTCGAGCACCACCACGGCCAGAGGTTCTGCCACCTCGCAATGGTCGACTGGGGGATCCGCGAGGGGCTTGCGCGCCACGCCCGCCGGGATCTTCCTCTCTCACTCTGGGCGGCCCTGAACCCCTGAGGGCCTCCCGCTCGAGAACGTTCCTTCGTAATTCAGAGGAGCAGGAGGGCACGATAACTTCCAAATTATGTCCAAGGTTTCCAGGGTTTCCGGTTTCCGGGGGTTCCTGTTGTTGCGCACGGGCTTCGGACAGGAGGGCAGCTTGACACTTTGGAGCTCCTGGGGCACATCCTGAGCTAATTGCGTTGAGACATGATTATCGTCCTGTCCTTGTGCTCGTGCTCCCTCGTCCCTCTGTCCGCCTTCTTTCATCCTCCTCCCTTCGCCCTCTCCCCTACCCTTCCCCTCTCTCATCTCTCCTTCCTCCTCCTACGTGGGTATCTGGATGCATCTGGCTGGGCGGCATCAGGCGATGGATACGCGATTTATTTTAACAAAACTAATCAGCCTACGCGCGTTCAAATGCTCTTCAGCGACAGCTTCCTGCGCTGCATGTGTAACCCTCCCCTTCTTTTCTGCCTCCACCACCTCTCCGTCTGGGCGGCAGCCTACGGTCGCGACCTGTGCGTAGCCGACCCTGCACTTTTACATGTGTCCTTTCATTTCGTTTCCATGTCCCTCGCGCGTGTGGGGCAGGCGTAGTACTCCTTGGGGGAGCACCATGGTGCTCCCAGATTCAGGCTGCCTCCTCGGATGCCTTCCGACTTCGGCCGCGACTGTCCCAATCATTATGCTGCTAGGAGCATGCGGGCACGCACGTACGAGTCTGCCGATCTTCTCCATGGGACTGGGGGACGCTGGTTTTGGCGTTTCTAGGGGATACGCCGCGTCCGACCACATCCGGGGGCCCGCGCCCCCTCCGTGTGCCCCGCCCTCGGCTCCGCGGATACAGTCGGGGCGCTGAAGAAGGAACCCTTTTCGTTGGGGAGGTGCTCGGGGCTCCTTGATTGTTTTGCAGTTTGCCGTGGGTTTTCCTGACGTTTTCCAGGGGACATCGAAGTTTAACTCATAGAGATAAGGTGGCCTCGTTCCTTATTGCGAAGGCCTTACGGCCGGTGCCGCCGACCCTGAAGACGACGAAGATGAAAACGAGCGGGCGGGGTAGGAGGCGGAGGAGGAGGTGGAGGAGCCGGGAGAAAGAGGAACGGTGGAGGAGGCGGATGAGGGAGGAGGAGGGGGGGGGCAGGATGATGATGATAATGATGATGATGATGATGATGATGATGATGATGATGATGATGATGCTGATGCTGATGCTGATGCTGATGCTGATGCTGATGATGGTGATGATGATGGTGATGATGATGCTGCTGATGCTGATGATGACGATGATGATGATGCTGATGATGGAGAAGATGCAGATGGTGATGCTGCTGATGATGATGAGTATGATGATGATGATGATGATGATGATGATGCTGATGATGATGATGATACTGATGATGCTGATGACGATGATGCTGCTGCTGATGCTGATGCTGATGATGTTGATGCTGATTATGATGCTGATGATGACAATGATGAGGCTGATGATGATGATGATGATGATGATGATGATGATGATGATGATGATGATGATGATGATGATGCTGATTATGCTGATTATGCTGCTGCTGCTGATGATGATGATGATGAGGAGGAGGAGGAGGAGGAGGAGGAGGAGGAGGAGGAGTGGGGAAGCAGCGAGAGGAATGCGGAGGAGGATGAGGAGGAGGAGGAGGAGGAGGAGGAGGAGGAGGAGGAGTGGGGGGGCACAGTTTCCCTTTGGTTGTCATGAGGTTTTCCGTGGGAAATCGAAGCTTTACTCATGGAAAAGGGGGCCTCGTTCCTCATTTAGGGTTCCTTTGGTCAACGCCCCGGCTGTATTGTCGACCGTCTGATGTCAGTTCCCGTGCCCAGATATCCTCAGTTTGCGCTCGCTGCCTCGCGGAGCTGTCTGCGTGCTGCCGTCCCTTGGCGTCGCCGGAGCCACGCTGGGGGTCGTCTCGCTCCCAGGGGGGGCAGCGCTGCCGCCGAAGCCAGAGGCATGCGGGAGGCCATGCCTGGGCTGTCTGGGGGCTGCTCCCCAGGGTCGCAGCAGCACGCACACAAAGCATCAGCTGTTACGCTCGTTTTGTTCGTTGCCTGGCTGGGCGCGGCTAGGAACATAGGCCAGGATGTTTGCCTGAGGGGTCGGGCCACTGATTTTCGGGCCGTGCTGGCGCTCCCGTGGAGCTGATCTGGAGTCGGCATCTCCCAAAGGTGCTTCTACTATATGTGCATGCCCCCCCCCCCCCTGGGCAATGCGCGCGCTCAGGAACCTAATGGCATGTGCTCGGTTGATGTCGCCTTCTGGCCGTACTTCCTGCGTGGCGATATAATACTTGCGGATCCAAGGGGGGCGCGTAGTACTAGTATGTCCTTCTGCATTACATTAACCCTCTTGGGCCTCCCTCGGTGCATTTCGTGAGTCTCGTGGGGCCCCTTTGGGCCATCCAGGGCTGCCCTGGGGCCGCGCGAGGTCGGAGACCAACAGGGCGCCTTCTTTGAAGCAGCCGTGTGGCAGTTTCGGACTCCCGCATCCCGCCCGTGGGGCTGCACGGGGAATATGTGGAACCCGCGATCCCAAGGCGCATGTTCAGAAGCGAGCCAACCGCAACATTCTCCAGTGGAGGGTGAGTTGATACAACGGTAGTTGGGCTTGAGAAGGCCCCCTCGTCGCCACGGGCCCAGCGCAGCTCGGAAAACTTGTGCGTTTGTACCCCAGGAAGGGGTCCGAGATCCGATTTCGAGCTGCCGTTTTCTCCACTCGCCTTCGTCCGGATTCAATCGGGGCTGTATCAAGTCATCCTGTAGCCCTGTAGTGGCGAGTTGAGGTGTTTGGGACTCGTCTCGGTGCCCCTGAGGTGGCCTTCAGCCATCGGGGATAAAATGAGCCCCACACTCGAATAGCAGATTGAAGACGTGACCTCACTGAGGGCCCCGCCCTTACATTAGGGAGAATATACCTGGGCGGCTCGATTCGACACGCTTGCAGAACAAGGCCGCCTATCCCTCATTGCTCTGGCCCTCCCAACGCAGGTCGCCCGGCCGCCTCCCGGAGGCTCAGGGGCCAATCCAGCCCAACCACTCGGAGCGTGTGGAGACCCTCTTGGCTGCTCTCGGGGCCGCCCTGGGGCCCCTGGTAGCCACCGTTCGTCGGGGTGGGTGGCACGCGACGCGTGCCGTATCAACTGCTGTTCTTTTCGCAAGCTTGGGTTGCGCAGGTCGACGCCGAGCGAGGGGGGGAGGTGAGAAGGAGCACGCCCTCTCAGAAGGCGGCGGGACTTCTCAGAAACCCTCGCGCAGTCTGAGAAGTTCTCTTTGTTTTCAGGGAAGGCTTTGAACACTTCTCAGAAGGCCGGAGGACCTCCGAGCCCTGTGAGAAGGCCTTTTCCTTCACACTTCCCCCCCCCCCTTGCTCGCTGCCAACCGGGGGGCGCCCGTTGGCTGCCTCAGAGCTCTGCTATCCTCCCTGAAGTCGCTTGGGTGGCATCCTGGGCCATCTCGAGCTGCGTCGAGCAGTCTTTGCGCAGTTGGACGCAGGTTGGGCGGGCCCAGGGCAGGCTCCGCAACACTGGGAGGAGATCGGACCAGGTTCTGATTGCCATGTCCCCAGGCCCTCTCTGTGAGCGCCTGCTTCACGAGTGCTCTACTCAGTATCGTTTAACCGTTCCCCATCCCCATCCTCATCCCCTTCGAGACCCCCACCAAATTACCACCCCAGTTGGGGATGCACCCCTCGAACCCCGAAGGGGACAGCCTGTATCCCCATCTGGGGGGGTAAATCGGCCAGTGGGGCCCAGGCCACGCCGCTGGAGATGGGGATCGGTTAAACGATGCTCATCTACCTGATGTCTGACAAGTCTCGTCTGGTGGCATACCGCCCGACCCTGTGCTCCAAGCCTCCGCGTCCAGCTTTCTGTCGACGGCTGGGGTGATGGGCACCGATTGTTGATCTGCGTTGCCGTCGGTCCGAGATCATCATCGAGGAACAAGCTTCTCGTCTGGTGACAGGGTCCTCTGGGGGATGGGAGCCTGGTGGCCCCGCAAGGGGTGCCTCGGCGGATCTCTCTCCAGGCGTGCGCCACGAAGACGCACAACGAGCTCCACTCGCTCTGGGGTGTGTTCGCCGCCACGCACCGCGTCTCCCTGCTGCACATGCTCCTCTTCGCCGTCAGCCTGTGCGTAGTCAGCGGGGACCCGCAGGGGGTGGCCGAGGGCAAGCACCCCCTGGGCGGCGGCACGGCGGTCGTGCGCTTCGCCGCCGTCGGCCTGCTGGTGCCCCTGCACGCACTGGCCTGGTCGTTCGCACAGTGGCAGGTCACAGGTCCGAGGCGGGGACGCGTCGTCGGCGGGCGGTGGATGTGGGCGCGGGCCGACAAAAGTCCGATCGGGTGAGATCACATGGGGCATGCCGTTGTCGGCGTGTTGAGGGAGCGCGCCGATGTCGGCTAGACCTGGGGGGGGCCCCAATCCCTGGTGTTTCCCGAGCCCTCGCCCCTGCGAGCTGCGCCGGCGTCGAGCATGTAGGCCCGCGCGCACAACAGGGACGATATACTCGGGCCCCCGGGGGTTCCACCGCCCATCCACCGCCTGCCGAGGCCCCCTGACATCGACCCCCAGGGCGGTGGGGTGGATGACAGCCCCGCCTCCACGCAGGGGAGGCCCTGCGCAACAAGTGGGGCCGGTGCGGCCCGTGCCTGAACTGCCTGGGCGCGGTGAGGACTCGTAGTCGAACACATTCATCGAGAAGAGACGAATCCCTAACCCTAATAACACAGTGAAGACGTGGCCTCACTGAGGTCCCCGCCTTCGCATTGGGCATTATATGTGTGGGCGGTTTGGCCCTATACATCTGCAGAACAGACCCTCTATCCCTAATGTTTCTGGCCCTCCTGACTTAGGTCCCCTCCCAAAGGGTCAGGGGTTCTTTTCCTGCTAGTCAGCTTTCTGAGCTCCACGTGGGCTTCTCGGATCGGCGTGCGCCGGAGGCGCCGCCGGGGGAGCCCAGCGCCGACTCAAGAAGTCCGCGCGGAGCTCCACAGACATGCGATGTGCAATCGGGGAAAGAGCACGCAGACACAAGTCATCATCGATCCCCAGGAACATATACGGAAACATCTGGCAACTATAGGAATTGGGGGGGGGGGAGACGACGATCCAGAAACTATGAAACATATTTGGAATCTTTGGGTTTGCGTGTGCTTAATTTGTGGGTCCCTGGGCCCCTTCAGATGTGTTGGCTTTCCCAGTGCGGGGGCCCTGGAAGTCCCGACCCTTTCTCTTTTGGGTAGGTTTTTCGCCCTGGGCAGGCTTTTTCGACGGCCCCGGGGCCCGGCGAGGGCCCCCCCGAGTCCGAAAGCGGCCGCAGATCTCCCATCGTGATCTCGTCGCGGCGCGCCCATGTCTGGGTCCGAAAGTGTCAGGTTCGACCGTGGTCGGTCTCTGATTTGGGGTCATCCCCCTGCCTCCCTCGGCGGGGGTCCAAACTCGACCCTCCTCGTCCTCCTCCTGCTCCTCCTCCTCCTCCCCTCCTCCTACTCCTCCTGCTGTTTTTCCTCCTCCTCCTCCTCCTCCTCCTCCTCCTCATCCTCATCCTCTTTCCTCTCCTCTCATTTCTCCCTCTCCTCCTCCTCCTCCTCCTCCTCCTCCTCCTCCTCTGTCCTCCTAATCCTCAGGAGGGCGCTCGGCAGCCTCTGCCGGCCGCTGTGCGGCTGCCCCGGCACCGGGGCGCGGTGCCTGCGGGGGCTCGTGCGGCGGCCGCCCCTGCTCGTCTTCCTGGCGCCGCTGGCCACCTTCGCCCTGCTGCGGTGGAGCGACGTCGAGGGCTCGGACGCAGATCCCCAGGAAGACGCGGGAAGCCGTGGGAAGCGGACGGGAGGGCGAAGCTCCAGAAGATGTGCGAATCGGTGGGGAGTCCCGGAGTTTGTGTATGGCTCTCTTCTTGGGCCCCTTCCGAGAGGCAGCAGCCCCCGCTCGCACACTCCTCGCCGAGGGCAGGGGGACGTAGGAGCGCCCCGTGGCCCGCTCGGAGCCACGGCTTCCCAGGTGGCGTCCGCACGCACACCCATCGAGGACGACGCCCCCCACCCCTGTCGTTCGGGGGTGGACAGAACCCCCAACAGTGACACGCCGATTAGTGAATTGTCCGTCTTCGGTTCTCGAGAGGGCGCCGTGGCCGTGATTTTCCAGACTTGCGCCCGCCAGGTTTGGGCCTCAGGTCGTTTTCACTAAACCACGTTTTGCTAAAGGGGGGTCTGTCCATCCCCGAATCGTATACCCTCGGGTTTTTGCCACGGCTCGTGGGTCCAGGGTCAGGGATTCGGGCCGCTACGCGCCCCGTTGGAGAAGCCTGGTGGTGGGAGCAGTTGGGGTCGGAGGATCGCGCCGCATCGCCGATGCATCGCCGATGCGGCTCGATGCGGAGCCTGATTTGCTTCAAGCCGACGTCGCCGGTGCACCGCCGACGTCGACGATGCATCGCCAGTGCATCGCCGATGCATCGCCGATGCACTGGCGATGTATTGGCGATGCGGCGCGATCCTCCGACCCCATCTTCTCTGACTCCACCTAGGAGGCCTCTACCAGTGGGCTTAAGTCGGGTATGTCCCTCTTCAGGAGGGACATGGACAGATATTTTAAACAACTAGTCGGGAGACGATTCTGCGACAGTTTTGACTATGTGTGGATCTTGTTGTTTGATCATTTCTTGCTTTTCTTACAGAATGCGCCTGTAGGAGGACATGCCCGACCTAACCCTGGAGACGACCCAGACGCTCACTTCGAGCCATTAGATGAGACTAACTCATATACTGGTGTTTAAGATCATGTTTTGGTACACGTGCTTTCTGTTATTCTTTATAGGAAAGGTAGGACTATTTCATATGAGCCGTCGTCAACGAGCATGATGTGGTCTGATGCGTACGCCCTGACGATAGCCCTGACGACGCCTTAGTGACAAGCTCAGTTTCCCAATGATGTCTCTGACGAAACGCTACACTGCGTCAATACGACGTCCAACAATATCTATGCCGTGAGGGTGTGTCAAGCGACATCGTAATTCAAAATTCGCCAGCAACGGACCGGCGAGGTACCCCGAACCCTTCCCTTTGAAGACGGACAGACGGGGTGTGCCGAAGCCCTGGAGATGGCTATCACAACGTCCAGCACGTAATTATATGTTCCATCCTGGGATAGGCTCGGCAGGCTGTGATAATCACGGCAATCACGACAATAGAAGCGTTTTGTTTTCTGCTAGGTGTAACGAATGACGTACATTCGCACTTCGCACAGGATCCCCAACCGTGCGACGAGGAAAACTCGGTTTCCCTAGAAACCTGCTCGCGCGAGCGCCAACTCAGCGGCGTCCGAGCGGCGACGGTAGAGCTCTTCACCCTCGACCCCCATGCTCTTGCACTTCGTAGTCTCGGCGTGCCAAGGCCTCGAGTGGATCCTCTTCTAAAGCGTCTGCTCGCTCACGCCATCGTCGTTTGCCTGGCTTTCAAATATGTTTCTTTTTTTTTTGCGCAGAGAAAACATTCGGGACGTCATCAGGGCACAATTTAATCGTGCCCTGATGATGTCCCGAATCAGTTGTCATTTGGGTTTCCGACGGTGTCCCGACGGCGTCCCGATTTCAAATCGATGGTGTCCCGATGGTGCCCGGCGGAGTCCTTACTGCTTGTGTTCAATGCGTGTCGTTCTTTTTAAGGCGTCTAAGCTTTTTTTTTTTTTGGATTCGGCACCTGCTTTCCCCTGTTGGGCTTGGTCTCGGCGCTCTCGTCCTTGTCCTGGTTTCCCTGCTTACGCTTGCCCTGCTTGCCCTGCTTGCGCTTGCCCTGCTTGCGCTTGTCCTGCTTGCTGTTCTTGTCCTGCTTGCTCGTCTTGCCCTTGCCCTCCCTGCCCTTGCCCTCGATGAGGGCCGTCGGCTCCGCCGACGTTTTCGGCGCCTCGTAGGGGCCATTGGCCAAAGCAATCATCTCTACAGAACTGAGAAGGTCGTGTTTCTTCGGGTCGGGTGCCTTGACCTGGAGGCGCTTCCTCGCGGGCGGGGTGCTTTTTTCTGCGCGGCGCCACGCTCTCTGGAGGCCTCGTGCTGCCCGCCCGCCCGCCGCTGGGGAAGCACTGGACGGCTTCATGCGCGTGGGAGTCGGAGTCTTGAATCACCACTCACCAAACCACCCCAACCCAACCCGAAGGCTCAGATTTACCATCGATTTCCAGTGGGGGGGGGGGTCGGGAAACATCGAAAAAACATATGTGGAACCCTTACCCCCCCCAACCCGAAATTCAGGTCTTCGGGTTGGGTTGGGGTGGTCTGGTAGGTAGTCATTGAAAAGATCCACATCGAACATGCCATCGGATTCTAGCTCCGGCACAACCAACTGCTCTGCTTCGCTCTCGGAATCTTCCGTCGAAGTCGTACGAATCGAACGTGGGCCTCCAGGCTCCTGTTCTTCGGTGCCGGCGTCGTCAACCATTGGACGCGCGCTGGCCCACGGGGACGTCGATGAGATGGATTGCCGATTGGAGGCTCGTGTGCTTTACGGGGATATTCTTAGTCAAACGTTCTTTTCACGGAGTTGGCCAATGATAGCTCGTAGCCGAAACACGCTCCGCTCAACTTTTTGAAACGAGGTGAACTGAATATCCCCCGATGTTTTGAAGCAAGCATCAAGTTGATGAGATACACTTTTCTGGTTCATCATCTTTCCTTTTGTCTTGACGAAGATGTCGGCGATTGTCTGCCGTCACGGCACGAGCTGTTCAAAAGTTGGCTTCTTTTCGAAAAGTCCTATTTTGAAATCAGACTTCCACAACGCATCAGGAGTGCCAAGAGCAATTGTAAGCTTACTAACAGCTATTTCTTGTGCGTCATCGCCAGAGATATTTACCTTTTCGGTCCTGGCGGCCACAGAACTCAGCATTCAATAATCCAAGCAGTTGCACTCGGCAATCACTGTGCGTTGATCTCAAGAAGACGCCTGAATTGAGCCAATATGTTTTACGACCGTACACACACAGACACGCGCACTCACGCACACGCCAAGTCAAATTAGACCTAATTTGACTTGGCCCTTCATTTGATTAAAGGAAGAACCAAGTCAAAGTAGACCTAATTTGATCAAAGTTGCGTTTGTCTTGATAATGTTATGGAAGGCCCTAGCTCAAAGGAATACCATATCTCAAAGGGCGGGCCAAGTCAAATTAGACCTGATGTGATCAACTCTGCGTTTGTCTGAATCGTGTTGTGGAAGGCCCTAGCTTAATCGTGTGCTCTGAACCTCCTGAGACCTGGACTGCCCTAGCTTACAGGAGCCCCCCGGATCCCCGAGCCCACACAGGCCCAGAAAGACCTTGGCCAACATGAAACCCGTGGGGTTACAGTCGGGGCCCTGAAGAACCCTTTTCGTTGGGGAGGGGCTCCGTGTTCCTTAATGGTTTCGCAGTTTGCCTCAGATTTTCCTTAGGTTTTCGATATGAAATCGAAGTTCAACTTATGGAAAATAGGGGCCTCGTTCCTTATTTAGGGTTCCTTAGGTCAACGCCCCGACTGTACAGATAGAACCTATGGAACCCTTGGCCCAGAGCGGAGCGTGGTGGTCCATGTTGTTCAAGACGGCCGCGGCGCGCTCCCGCAGGCCACACGAGCGTCGCATGCGGAATGCCTTAGGAGTAGCAAGCGTAGCAGACAGGCTCCGCCGACGAATCTCGCACACACTGAACTCACACCGAACAGGATCTCAGTTGATGTTCATCGCCTTCCTCTTTCCGCCCCTCTTCGGCTTGTCCTTGACAACGAGGTTGATGGCCCACGCCTCGATCTCCTGGAACTCTCTGGGAGTCTCGCTGGTCTTCTGGATGGCAGTAGGCACAGCATCGCGCTTGGTGTTGTCAGAATCTGCCATCATCGTTTTGATCGTGTTGTGCGCGGTGTTGGCCTTTTTTCATGAACTTCTCCATGTCCATCGCGAGCACCCCTGCCAAACGGTTTGATTGCGGCCGCGGCAACATCATGGTGATGTCGCGAATGCTGTCGTTCAAGGACCGCGAAGGCTTTTGCGTCTCCATCGGCTCCAGGCAATCTGTGATCTCCCTCTCTGCTTTTTCTTCGGGGCTTCACTCTTCCTTCTTTCCCTCGACGTGGGGCTGACCGCCCCTCTCCTTCTTGAAGTTCTGCAGGATGACCTCCTAATCGGCGTCTGCGCGATTGGCCCCGAACTTTTGCTTTTCGGGAACGATCTCGGTGTCGAGCTGCTTCATCCACTCGGCCGGGACGGCGTGTTCTTTCAGCGGATCGTCGTTGGAACTTGTGATTGGGTCTGGGCGAGCCTCCAACATTGGTTATCCACTTTTGTCAACGGCCTCACGCCAAGCTTGTCCGTTCAAAGGGCCAACGTCAGTATGCATTTTCTCTTGGGACGTCCAAAGCCTCTGGCGGCCCCTCTCTGTGTTGAAGTGCTCGGATTTCTCGCTCTCGACCGTTTTGATGGTACCCTTTTTTGACCCTGGCCTGGGCATCTCAGGGCCACAATGGCTCCCTCAGGGTTCCATGTGGGCAAGGGCCTATCTAGGCCTATGGGGACTCCATTCGGTGCCCAGTAGTCTCCTAAACTGCACCATGCATTACGTAGCAAATGTTTGGTTCAAGGTCTTCGCGGAACTACGTATACTCACGAGTCAACCTTTCCATACGATGCCGCATTTGGGAGATGTGCTCAAACCATCAGCTGCCGAACTTGAGGTCGATCCATGTGGCGCGAACGTTTTAGGTTTTGACACACATGAGACAGCTCGAGATAACATGGCTACAGCTCATG